ATTTACACAATACAAGATTATCCTAAATATTTGCAGAAATTCAAAGTCTCACACAACAAAAGGGTTAAATAATATTCACTTTGAATATATTTTAATGCATAATTATATAGCACATATTTTTTAATATAGAAATCTTAATAGTTATACCTACGAAGTCTTATTGACTCACACAGTAGTATGATTATCCTAAAGGTTTACGGAATTTCAAAAATCTCACATGACCAAAAGATCTAATTAGAAAAATATGATTATAATTCAAATTTATTAATTAAAATCATAAAAACATTTATTATTTTATTTACAAAATTTGTTTATTTATTTACCATATAAATTTTGAACCACGATATCTGCGAGGATTTATTATCCTACAAGATAATGTGATTAATTTAAGTCTCTATGAAGATTTTTAAAATCTCACATGAGACTTAAATATTTATTATAAAGAGAGAATTAATTTCAATAATGAGCCTTTGAAACTCATATAAATACATACAAGATTGATCCTCACACCTATGAAATTTTATTGATTTACACAGTATGAAATCATTCTAAATGCCTACGGAGATTCTTAAAATCTCGCACAACAAATAGATAATCAAAATATTTGTATTTGCAATCGATGCATAATATTATGGTTAGCTAAATGATTCATACAATAAAGGCAATGGATAGAATAGAAAAATAAACAATTTTGACAATTCACTATTCTTTTGACTTAGGGATATATTCTAAAAAATTTAAATTTCGCATAAACTTTTAGCAAGATTATAACTATGATAGATACAACTTCAAACCACAATCACCCCACAAATTATCAACGATATTCTCATAGGCTTTTTTTTTTTATTTTGTCAAACACCTCTCATATATGTTCTAAATTCTACATAAAAACATTTAATTTTTGAATTTTTTTAATGCCTAAACATATATTTGGATCAATCCACACTTTTAACATCTATCAATATATATATATATATATGTTCATCAATAAATCTATATTAAAGGAGATGACATGATTTAAATATTACCTGATTTAACCCTGAGTTGCAACAGCCTATGATTCCAGTGTGGCCCCCATCATTGCCCCCATCTTCTCTCACATATGACACGCCTTCTCTGACTCCAACTACAGCTCCACCCGCCTTAGCCTCCACACTGCTTCCTTCCTATGTGATGACTATGCTCGGGGACCTTCTTCCAGCTCTTTATAGTATTCATCAAGCTCATATACAAGCATGTTATCACCAAAACCTGAAGCAGTTCCATGAGGTGTTGCATTCTGAATAATAGGAGGAGCATTCTCTGGCATTCTCTTAGGTTGTAACCATAGAAATAGAGATGAAGCAATCACAGTGGAGGGAGAGAGACTTAAACGTCACAGAAGGGGAGGGTGGCCTAATAGCTGAAGTGATGCTAGAGTTAGAAAGTCATGAAGGAAGCATAGCTGATGGAGGAGCCAGGCATCAGTGAGAATAAATGCCCCATTGGAGGCAGCCATGAGGTAGGATTGGGAATATGCTAGCGTATGCTTCACTCGCATTGCACATAGTCTCGCACTTTCACTCTCCTCTTCCTCCTCCTCTTCTCTTGACCTTCTACTCTCTCGTTCTTCCTCTCTCCTTCAGTCTCTGCTCTCTCGTTTTCCTTGGTCTCTCTCTTTTTTTTCTCCTTTTTTGTTCTGTGTTGTGTCTGTTCTTCATCCAGACTTCCCTCTATCGGTCTCTCCCTCGCTCTCAATCTCTGTTCAGGCCTCTCTCTCTCTCTCTCTCTCTGTTTCTCCTCGCTCTTCTCAGTTCTCTCCCTCTTTCTCAATGCTCTGTTTTTTCTTTGTTGTACTTTGTTTTTGCTCTTTTCTTCGTCTCTAGTCCTCGATCTCTCCTTTCTCCAATTTTCCTCTCGTTTGTCTCGGTGCTCTGTTTTTCTGTTGTGTTCCTCGTCTCTCCATGCTCTCTTATTTTTGGTCTTTCTCCCTCGGTGTTCCTCTCGCATTCTCCTCTCCCTTCTGTGTCTCCTTCGTGCTCTGTTTTTCATGCTATTCTCGCTCGATCTTCCTCTTCTTTTCTTCTCTATTTTTGTTTCTCTCTTTCTCTCTTCCGGTGCTCTTTTTTTCTTCCATTTTCTCACTCGTTCTTGATCTCTCCCTCTCAGTTTTCTACTCTGTTTTTTGTGCTCTTTTTTATGTGCTTTATCGCTAAAGCTTTCCTCCTACTGTACATGTCTCTTTCCTCCTTTTCTTCCTTCCACTTGCGTGCATGCTATGTTTCTGGTTCTGTTTCTTCTTTTTCTGTTAGCCGAAAGTATGTGTACCTATGCTGGTTGCTTGCTGCTGCTTCTGCTCTGTTTTGCTGTGCATGCACGCGTCTAGCTCAAAGTGTTTTCGTGTCTGTGTAGCTATCTGGTTCTACTTTTTTCTTTTGCGCCAAAGGTGTGAAATTTTTTTTTTTTTGACCGGGTGAAACGCTGTCCAACCTTATATCATATATATATATATATATATATATATTGGTTTCCAATTTTTTTTTTTTAGATTCACACACACACACATATATGTAATAAGATTTAAGGAGAGAAATTTAACTCTCAAAAGTTGACTCCTAATATTTGTGAATGATTGAAAAAATTTGGGAGAGATTTTAAAAGATTTAAACAAATTTTTTTTAATTTTGTTCAATTATTATCATTATTTTTTTTTGAAAATATAATCCTAAAAAGGATTAAATTTTATTTTTTATATTTTTATATTTTTATATATTTTTTGGTTACTTATTATTATTTTTATTAATTTTTTTAAAAATACTCGGACAAAATACAATGTTCACATTACCCTTAATTGAAATAAAATTCCCTAGCCTCAAAACAGATACTTGTGAATTTGCAAATTACTGTTGAATTCTCTCAATTTTAGGAAGAAAAGTTATGAATATTAAAATAAAACTTGTAAATAGCAATTGATATTTACAACACTTGAAGAATATCAAGATTTCAAATACGAACTTGTGAATTACTATTCAATTTTTGTGAATTTAAGAAAAAAGGTTATAAATCTTAGAACAAAATTTGTAAATGATAATTGATGTTTGTAACACTTGAAAAATACTATGATTTTAAGTGCGAACTTGGGAATTGCTATTGAATTCTTATAATTTTAGGAAGAAAATTTGTAAATCTTAGAATAAAACTTGTCTAAGGCTTGGGATTTTTATTTGAATCAAGGGCAATTTGGTCTTTTATATTAATTTCTTAATGACAAAACAGTCCCTATGTAATTCAGCGGAATTATAACATTTTGAGGAATTAAAATATTATTTAGATAATTCAAAGGGATTTTAATATTATTTTCCCAAAAACATTTGACGTGAGCTTTAAAAAAAAAAACACCAATTTTATAGATATACTTATTGAATGAGTAGATTTAGGTCATCTAGCGAATTCAAATTTCAGATAAATCACAATATTCTATAGTAATCTAACTATTTTTAAAAAAATTTAAAATTTTATTTTAAAAGATTGAAGTTGCTAGCATTAAATGCAACAAACAATAATAATCACTTTAAAATTATGTTTTAATCCATTTACTTTTTTTATTATAAATGTCAACGTGTAATAAAAATATAAATAAAGAATTTATAATAAAATTATAAATTTAATTTCCACAAATTTTAAAAATTCAATTCTACAAACTTGAAATTTGAAATGAATTATTCCACAGTTGCTTTAAATAATAGATATTTAAATCACTATTTAAATAAAAATATTTAAAATGTTAAGAAAAACATTTGATATGTTCTTAAAAAAAGAAACACTAGTTCTATGTGCAACAAAATGATATAACTCATTTTTTACATTAATACCACACAATTAACATATTATTTGGGTACATATAAACTACTTATATATAAAAATAATTAAATCAATAAACCTAATATGAGACCTTTTCAATATGATCTACATTAATATATAAATACTTTCATTCATTGTCTTCTAGAATGATGCTATACATTACATGAAATGCTTTAAATCCTTAGTAATATCATTTTGCATAATCTTTCATTCTATCTAATCTAAAACATAAGAAAATTTATCATCATGAATTAGAAAATCCAATCTAGCATATTAAACTTGACAAAGATAATTAAAAATTTATAATATGTAAACTAAACTTCATCGTAACTAGAAGTGCAAATATATTTGTGAACACAAATTCAAGGGACCAAAAAAATAAACACAATAATCCAAGAAAAAAGAAACAGAGGGAGTAGGTAACAAATGCAAGAGAGTTATATGTGTAACAAATTTGGCATGCCTTTAGCTAATAAAATTAAAATGAATTACCTTTTGAATAAGAAATATTAAATCATCAAGAAAAATAAATTTGAAGTAAGCTTGACTAATAAGATAAGAAACACAGTTCTATGTGAAACAAATTGATATCTCTCATTTTTGACATTGATACTGCACCATTAATATAGTATTGAAGTACATAACATACAAACTACTTATATATATATATATATATATGAAAAAAAAACCAAATCACTAAATCTAACTAATTTTATATGTACAATATAATTCATTACCAAGAACATAATGAGTATAGCATCCTAAAAACATCATATCCCATGCGACATGGGGAAAAAATCTAGTTATATTTATAAAACATAAATTAGGGAAGATATTATATAACTTAAACTCCATTGATTTTTTATTTTGTTATTGAAAATACTAGCTCTTTTTCTTTTTGAAAAAATCAATTTGTCTATCAAAAAAGGGGGGGAAAAGTCAATTCCCACAAGCTTTATAGAAAATTTTGTGTAGTGATTTAACTTGAATACTTGATGGTGTTCTTTGTATTGCATAAAAGCCTACACAACAACTTACATTATTCAAAACTTGTGAATAATGCAACTTAGTAAATATTGTATATAAATACACAAATATCTAGATTTATAGATAGTGCCCGTGGAGATTGAGACAAGTAGAAATTATAATGAACCAGGAAATAAAATGATAATTCACACTAGAAGATATCAAGATAGTGACAAAGATTGCCAAAAAATTAACTATACAGAAATACTACATGTCTACATTTGGTAAAGGAAAAAGGCTAGAGTTAATGATCAACCATCAGGTAAATAGAGAGGAAAGTTTGGCTAAAAATAATAGAGAAAACAAAGAGAGCCACAAAATACATAGTTAAAATGGTCCTCAAGGAACCATATACCCTAAACTCATCAAGAGACAACGCGCTCGTTATTAAGATTCCATGTATTGTAACGGTGGAGGGCTTGTCTTCGTCTTCCCAGGACCTGCAACATAGTTTAACATAAGACATTTTGCTACCTTTTGTGCACTGATTAGCAAGTATCCTTTCAAGAGTTAAAAAAAGCCAACAGAAAATGATCTATCATAAATCAGGATAATTTATAACCTGAAAATATAAGGAAAATCCCTGTAATTTTATTAAGGTTCAACGCAGAATTGTATCGATTTCAAAAATATAAAGGAAATGTGTGATTTCGATCAATTAAACTCAGCAAATTTGAAAGCTGGCCAAAAAAATAAAGAAAATTTGAAGAGGAGAAATTTCCGACGGTACCCATGAAAGTTTGCAGAGGGATTAGAATGACATACCATAAGCCCCACGAATCTCGACTTCTCTCCATTCTTGGACAAGGGCACAGCAACAGCACATCAAATGAGAGAGAAAATCATCAATATATCCGCCCTGCCATAGAATGCAATAGTAAGTTATGAAACATCTACAGAAAAAAAAAAAGTCAAAAAAATCCGATACAATAAAAGTCTAGCTTTTCCCAAAACCTTAACAGATATATAATCTGTAATTATATATTCTAAAACTCAAATTGAAAATTAAGAAAAATAGGTGCAGAGTTGTTAGTTTTAAAAAAAAAAAAAATTGCAGGTACTGCTACCAGAAGAATATGAACACATTTTACATTGTGAAATGAGTATGCTGCCATAGCTTCAATCTTTATATTCACAATGTGATCACCCACACGACATAATATCTAGGTATTTAAGATCTCAAGGCAAAATAAAATAAAATAAAATAAAATAAAATAAAATATGACAATATCCTGAATGGTCGTCCCTTAAACGAGTGGTAAACCAATGAGAGAAAATCACGTCTGCAAAGATGGAAGAAGTACCGTGATGTTGAACATCTTCCGTAGCCGCCTCCTTATGCAGCAAGTATAGCAACAGCAAGACAAAATTAATGAATATGCCATCAATTCATTACATGCTTCCGCAGAAGCTGAAAAAACAGAAAGCTGAAATTATAGTAGCTGAACTTCAATGGTGTTCTTTGTAAATGAACCAGATTGAGAATACATTTGCCACATTACTACTAGAGAAAGATATTTGTGAGAGAAAGCAACTTTAGCAGTAATCTTGTTTACAGCTACAACTCAAACAACACTTTAGTTATGTCTCCATTACATGGAAGTCATCATATATGACTGCGTAATGACTTCATCAATAACATTGTTCTGCATCATTCTTAGTTAACTCCTTGTCATTCATCATGATATGGGAAAGTGTATGTATGGTCTGTCTTAAAATCTCACTTCAACTAAAGGGTATTTGGTTCAACTAGTCGAGAGAGTTGAATCAGCTTATTTAGGGGTCTCAAGTTCAAGTTTTGGAATATGTAGCCACGTTAAATTAAAACACCAAACACATGCTCCAGGTACCCATGAGGCCATTATTGATAGAAACGGTCCCACAAAGTGGGGGTCCAAATTACTCTAGATGGGTGCTCGTGATACCCTCAAGTTTTCTACAATACCGGATGGAATTATCAAAAAAACAAATCTCACTTTAAGTTGGCCAAGTCATATTTATTCACCTCCACCACCCCTCAAAATCCCGATAAACAAAGTAGCAGTGAGAATTTTCTGAGTACCTATGAAAAAGAGGAAAAAACCTATGTTGAACATTACCAACTTGATCTACTGAGATGTCATTCCATTTCTTAACTAATAAAAGCGAGACACATTTTCAGACATAGTCCATCTGTCAAGTGCTAACAGACTTTATGCCATATCTAACTTACATATGGGTCTGTTATTTGCGACAGAAGCAATCTTGGAAAATGTCCCGCAGGGATAGAATAATGTCTTCATACCTGCAACGCAAATTATTAACTTATTACTTGTGTTCCAACTTCCAAAGTACAACTGGGAACATGCATGATATGCTTTTGACTTTAAAATCATATCGGGAAGGACAATATCAACACCCTTGTGCTGAGAATTCATTCTATGTAAAACTTGAACAGCCAATCTTCACTGGTGGAAGTCCCCAGCAACAAGTAAATTTGGGGTAAGTGGCAAAATATAGTAATAAAATGCTGTGAAAGCTGAAACGTGCTGCTGACTAACTGGACATTCAAAAGACAAGACATTTGAGAGATACATGATCAATAATGTCAGATATACTATGAACCTCACATTATAATATGTAAACCCTCGGAGCATTGAAGAATATCTTTCCATTATTATCTAAAGAAAACAGAATGAAAAGTAAGAGAGAACATACAAAGAAAAGGTTCAGAACAACAAGCAAGTAAATCTGTATGCCACTCTTCCTCCTGATATGAACCTCCAGATGACATTCTGTTTTTGGCCAAGAGATCATTAGTTACCAAAAAGGAAAATCAGACAACCCATCTAAGACAACCATTATTGGCTGCACAAGAAAACAAAGAGATGGAAGGAGCATGAACTATTTTAATTTTCAGACAGATTGGTTATCCTAAGCGAACCAACAATACATGTTAAAGTTCATGGATAAGAGGGAAAATCACCTTGAAGTTGAAACAGTATCTTTTGTCTTATAAGATTTTTCACCATATGAGTGCCCTTTGTCATCATTAGCATCAGTGTAAGTATTCTCTACAACTTTATGACTTTTTTCAGGTGAAAATTTTTCTGGAAGAGAATAAGCTGCAACTTCTGTGACATCTAATAAACGTTGAATGAATTCACATTGATTTGTATCCCAACTTGCTTGTGATCTTTGTAGCTCTAGTTTAAGCTTTTCATTTTCTTTTTTCAGTGCTTCCTTGAAAGGCAAGTTTGGGTAAGAACAAGAAAGAGTTTTTTTCAGCACTGCAGCATCTTCTTTGTCAGGGTCAGGTTTCATAATAACAGTCTGCACTTTTTCATCCTCATCATCTAAAGTGTATTCACATTGATCTCTTTCAATAACGTCAAGTCTCTCCTGAAAATTTAAGAGAAGCAACAGATTGTTGAAAACATTGAGGCCAAATTGATAATAATGGCATTAAACAGACTTAAAATTGCACATTGAACATCTTGTAGATGATAAGAAACTTCCAAATTCTGTTTAGCTCAGATGCAATGTATAACGAGATATCATGGTACTATATGCGTGTTTAATCAAGACATATTGAGAGACAACTTCAAAGAAATCTTCAAGAAATATGGAAAACTAATATTCTACATACTTAGCATGCTACAAATCTTACTCAGTAGCAACTGATATAAAAAATATACAACATGATGTGGTTGGTTGATTGCACACATTCAGGCATACAATCTGCCAGCATTGGTCCCTAATTTTCAAAGGCCAGAAATTTGAACATTCATCCCAGGAAACTAATATTTCAGGTGGCAGTGGTAACAAGTCACAGAAGAACAAGCTACTAGAACATCTGAATAACGAGATTGAGCCTTTAAGGCAATTTAATTCTGGTTACCCAAGTATCCCACCAATAGCTTACATCACTCAAATGAGAACCACCTTTTCATTTTAAAACTTGATAGATCGAAACTGAAGCATTGATCAAGAGAGCGAATAGACATCTCAAAAGGATTTTTGTGGTAAAAGATGACAACCATCAAGAAATGCGTAAAATCTGCCTAAGTTTTACTTCGTCATTTCGCCAGAGGGATGACCTGAATTCCACCACAGCGGTAATGCCTTAGGTGATAATTTAAATCCACCCACTACGGAGAGAAAAATCAGGCAAGCAAAGATGTCTTGTATTAGAAGTATAGAATTGAAGGAGAATAAGACTCAAGCACGATTGATCAACTGCAAATCGTTCATAAGAAGATTTAGAACAATATGAATATTAACAAATAGATACCCTGACTCGAGCATTGTCTACAAGTGTAATGAGAGGAACAAGCCGCAGGTATCTATCAATTTCACTCTGAGCCCTCCTGAATTGATAAACGATGTTCCAGCCCATGGCCAGCAAATAAAGATAGCTTCGATCCTGACAACTATTGACCAATATGTAAGCCCTTCTAAGGGATTCTTCAAGCTGCTCCAGAGGCTCTCGTGTTTCTGGATACTTTTTAAGCTCTGAGATCTTGAGCTGCTCCAGCAAGTTCCCAATCAACTTCAGATGCTGAGCAAATTGCCTGCAGTTCTTTTTGTGCATTCGTGCTGTACTTGCAGCTTTGACAATCATCCCAATCAACCGCACAGCATCCAGGCCCGTCAATTGGGCTACATTTGCAATTTCCCCAAAATGGTCCCATCCAGATGCCATGCTTTCGGGAAAATCAACCTGAAATATAGCCCTCCACATATTAGTCCACAGCTCCAAATTCCAGAAACTGTAGAAATTTTAGTATATTCCATCGTAAACTTTGACAGAGCAATTCGACATGGAAGACTAAAACCACCACAAATTTTCAACATTTTCAGTTCATTTTACCGATTACTAAGCGAATTAAAGACCTGTTTGATACTTGCAATAGGTAGATAATATCAACAGTACAAGCTTTCACGCCGGATCAAACTCTCCTATGCCCGATGTTCTCAGAAGTAGCATTGTCCTTCAAGATCTTGGATGTTCAGAGACGGACGCACTACAAATTGAATCAGATGCAATTAAATAAGGAAATCAAAGAAATGAAAACGAAATAAACCAAGAAATTTTCAAAGACTATCCATGATGCTTATTGACTCTCTTTCAACGCAGAAGATTAATTAAAATAATATATACATACATGTATATATATATATATATATATATGTTAACATACATAGTTCAGCCAAAAATTGTGAAATGTATTACAAGCTAAGCATCTTCACTTGTTAACCAACAGATCACTTCCACCTAATTTTGTCCAGATTTATTTTGAAGAAGAAGAAGAAGAAGAAAATGTGACCCTTACGAAACATGACAAAAGTAAAAGCTCATAATAATGTATCACCTTCCCCAGAAGATGCAGTGAGCATTTGCATGAAAAAAACCAAAGAGAACGTCAAAATCAGAGAAATTAGCATAGAATTTTGGTGATGACAGGCATTGCGATGCGGGAACAAGGTAATTCTTCTTCTTCTTTGTAATTTTTTGGGCAGAGAAAACCACAATCATCCACCACTGAATGCCTTTGTTGTTTGTATGTGTTGCTCTTATCGCTCACAGTTTCGGTGCTGCTTGTCTGTGTTTTGCGTTCCTAACTAGCGGTGGGTTAAGTCATTACTTCATTAGTGTGGCGTTAAAGTACAACAATGCCCTTCCGATAATGTCGTTATTACAATAGTACCACTATCACGGACTGTAATTTTATTGTTATTTATTTTTTTAGGTCACAGGCTGTAAATTGTAACTGCTGTGTAATGGCGTTATACGACGACTATGTTGACTCTTCCAGAAGCTTTTGCAGAAAAGAAGTATCAAGATACCGTCGTCAACAGGTAACTAGTGACTAGTGAGAGAGTGAGTTGTGAGACAATCCGGCTGCTTTTTCGTTCTGTTTCCTTGTTTATCTCTGAAAAAAGAAAAAAATAACATTGTTTGTATTTTATCCTTACTCTTATTTTTGATCTTTTAAGTTCTTATATTTTTATTTTTTAATATTATATGTCCCTAAATAAATAAAATAAAAAAACATAGGAACCTTAAATAAACATAAAACATTAAAAAATATAAATTTAAAAATTTAAAATATAAAAAAATGTAAGGACATACAATAAAACAAGAGTCAATTGCAAAAATCAAAATGTATTTTTCCCTGAAAAAAACAAATGTTAAATGCGTTAAAAATCATATTGTACAATGCGCTACATTTACCCACAACCCACGAATGATCAAACTTTTAAAATTATATTAAATGAAAATTATGTCTACAAATAATCAATAAACAGAAAAATAATAATTTTATTCCATTTAACTTTTATATAATTTTTAGAAATATTAATTTAATTTATAAAATTCATAATAAAATACATTATTTATAAATTATATTCCCTCCATTCAAAAAATATAAGATATTTTTTAAGTAGCTAAGTATTTAAAAATATAAGGTATTTTGTATGTTTTAAAGTATAATTAATATGTTTTTTAAATGTTCTTGATAAATAAATTATTTTATATTTACTTTAAGTAAAACACCATATTAAATGAGGATAGATGTAAAAAAATAGTGTTAGTTTAAAAAAGTTAGCTAATTTATTAGAAGGTGTAATTTGATTAAAAATATTTTACATTTTTTAATGATAGAGAAAATTATAAATAGTACCATTTGATCCATAAATACACAAAACATATGTGGCTCGTTGGCTAACTGCTATATATAAGAAATTTTTAGGTGAACTCAATGAATCATGTCATTTATAGTTTATTTAATAAAATCATGACATTAAGGTAACATTAAATATAAATTGATTTTGTTATTAATACAACAACAACAACAACAAGCATTTATCCCACTAAGTGGGTTGGCTATATGAATTGTAAGACGTCATTATGTTTTATCATTTATTAAGCTTTAGAAATATTATTAATTAAAAGATCATGTTTAACAACTTCCAAAAGTGTCTTATTAGGCTTTCCTTTATCTCTCTTAACAGGCTCAAAGTTATATATTCCACTTTTCTCACTAGTGCCTCTCATGATCTTCTTTGTACATACTCAAACCATCTCAAACAATTTTCTATCATTTTTTTCTCAATAGGTGCTACCCCTACTTTTTTGCATATGCACTCATTTCAAATTTTATCTTTATATGTACGTCCGCATATTCATCATAACATTCTCATCTCTGCTACTCCAACTTTATACTCTTACTATCCCATTAGAGTCCAATATTCATTACCATAAAATATAGCCGGTCTGATAACAGTATGATAAAACTTTCTTTAAGTTTATTAGGCACCTTACGGTCGCAAATAACTTCTTTAGCTTTTCTCCAATTAAACCACCCAACTTGAATTCTATATGAAATATCACCACTGATTTCGCCATCATTTTAAATAATAGCTCCCAGATATCTAAACTTTTTCACTTGAGGTATAATTTGATTTCTCAATTTCACTTTCAAATTACTGTCAACTAGTCTCTTACCAAATTTACAATATAAATATTCCATCTTACTCCTACTCAGACGGAAACCTTTCGACTTCAATGTCCTCCTTCATAACTCAAGTTTACAATTAATCTCTTCTCTTGTCTTTGCTATAAAAACTATATCATCCGTGAAGAGCATACATTTAAAAATTTTCCTTAAATATGTTCTGTCAAAATATTTAAGACCAAGTTAAACAGATAAAGACTTAAAGATGATCCCTAAGGTAGTCCAATCTTTATAGAAAAATCTTTTATTTAACCACTGGAAGTTTTTATACCAGTTTTTAACCCCTCATGCATATATTGTATAACTTTAACATAAGTAATTCGTACTCCCTTCTTTTCCAAGCCTTTCCAAAGCACTTCTCTTGATATATGGTCATAAACTTTTTCCAAATCAATAAAAACTATGTATAAATATTTATCTTTGCAACAATACTTTTCTATTAATCCCTTTAGTAGATAAATCACCTCTATAGTTGATCTATCTAGCATAAAACCAAATTGATTCTCAGAAATACTTGTCTCCAATGTCAACCTATACTTAATTACTTTCTCCCACAATTTCTTTGTGTGGCTCATAAGTTTAATTCCTCTATAGTTAGTACAATTCTAAATAACCGCTTTATTTTTATAAATAGGAATTAATGTATTTCTTCTCCAGTCGCTAGGCATTTTCTTAGATCATAAAATCACATTAAATAACTTAGTTAACCATTTCACCCCTTTTTCACCTAAACATTTCCTCACTTCAATAAATATATAATCAAGTTCGTTGGTTCTATCATTTGCCATTTTCTTAAGAGTTTCATTTACCTCTTTATCACGTATTATTTGATAGAATGACAAATTTTGTTCTCCTTCACAAGTTACTAAATCTTCCAAGTTACTAGACAAACTCTCTCCATTATTGAAAAGTTTGGAAAAGTAAGTCTCGCATTTGTTTTTAATTTCATCATCTATAACTAAAATTCTTCCTTCTTCATCCTTTATTCACCTTACTTATTTTAAATCTCTTAATTTTTTTCCTATTCTTAGAAATCTTATAAATGTTTCGTTCTTCTTCCTTTGTCTTAAGGCTCTTATAAAATTCTTCAAAAGCTTTAAAATGAATTTCACTCACAGCTCTCTTAGTTTCCTTCTTAGTCATATAGTACTTTTCCTAATTTTTCTCATTGTTACACAAATGTATGGCTTTAAGGCAATTCTTTTTATGTTTGATTTTGTCCTATATACTATTATTTCACCACCAAAACTCCTTATCTCTCGAACCAAAACCTTTTGATTCTCTCAAAACTACTTTTACAACCTTCCTTATCTTTTTAACCATATCCTCCCACAAATGTTAGCATTCCTTGAGATTTTCAAATTTCTTTATCCAAAAGATTCCGCTTGAAAATATTTTGCTTCTCACCTTTTAGTTGCCACCACCTAATCCTTGGTACTACTAATTGTCGATATTTTTGAGTTTTACTCATAATACACACATCAAGGACAAGGACCCTATGTTGTATCGTTACAACATCCCCGAAAATCACCTTGTAATTTTTATAGAGTCTTCTATCCGTGTTCATCTCTCTTCTTGAAACAAGTGTTGGCAATTTGAAAACCATATGTTAATGAGAAATCAAGAAGAGTTTGTCCTTCATTATTTAGCTCTCTAAAACCAAAACCACCATGCACCCTACATACTGACCAGCCTCCCTCCTGACATGCCCATTAAAGTCTCCTCCAATAAAAATCTTTTCACTCTATGGTATGTGTTGAATCAACCCTTCCAAGTCCTCCTAAAATAATTTCTTAAAATTGACTTCTGTCCCAACTTGAGGCTCATAAACACTAACAATATTAACAGTCTCACGTCCAACTATCATTTTTAAGAAAATTATTCTGTATCTAATTCTATTAAATTCTACAACGTTCTTCTTCTACTTCTTATCAATAGTGATGCCTACTCCATTGTGTGTGCTTACTTTTTCTATATACCAAAGTTTGAAAACTTGAATATCCTTAACTTCTTCTCCACTCCATTTTGTTTCTTGCAGGCATAAGATATTGATTTTTATTTGAATCATAACCCCTACGATCTCTACAGATTTACAATTCAATGTCCCAACATTCCAAGTACCACATCTAATCTTGCTGTCATAGACTAACTTTTTTAGCCACGCAAGTCTAGAATGACGCGGTAACCCTTGCTCATTTAACATTACATCCAGGCGCCAATGCAGCGGCTCTAACTTACTTATCACTGCACTTGAGCCATGCAACGCGTTACTTACCGACAACAATCTAACGTTAGCATTATAACGTCTATTATCCATGTTCATAATAGATTCAACAAAGTTTTATGTTGGTTGTTGATAGCCTAACACAACCCTCCTTCTTTACTCGGGCTTGGGACTGGCTATAAACATAGACGGAGTTTATTTTGTTATTAATAATGATAAAAAAAAGAAAATGTAAGAAATTAAATATTATAAAAATAAATTCATTAAAAATAATAATAAATAATATTTTATTTAATTAAATTGATATAATTTAAATGACAATTTTATTATATGAATCATGAGTTGGGTCTATCTAAAAATATATATATATATATATATATATAAGGGCCCAGTAGTTTTATAGACGGTCAAGCGTCTCCTCGTGAACCAAAACAACAAAAATATTTAAGTCATTTGAGACATTGGTCACAACGAGTAGCTTTCTGGGGTTGCGAACAATTGCCAAGTCCACATGCCTTCACGTTTCATTCTTAACAACTAACATGTACTTTTCAGTTTTCAATTTACTAAGCAATGCGTTACATTCGATTGTTTAAATTTAAATTAAAAATATTGATAAATTTTTATATAATATTTGATATTTGTTATATAGTAGTATTATGGAAAATTTGACTATTGTCAAATTCAATTAAAATAATTTTTTCAAAAATGTTCTCCACATCCTCAAAAATTCGACATCTTATGCATAAATGATCATAGACATAATTTCTCTTGTTATGACCAAATATTTTTGTTAAAGAAATAAAAATTGAGGAAATTTAATTTAATTGAGTAATGTTTAATTAGATGCCTTTTATAA